GACTGACTGAAAGGAAACTGTGAACTGATTTTGTTTTATTTATTTTATTTGTAGGCCTATGCTTCTAATACTGGTGCAAGTTGAGGGTGTGTGTATGTGTCTGTGGTGTACATGGTTTTGGTTGTTGTTCAAAGAGAAAATACCTATAAACATATTGTACAAAAAACAACTATTCATTAAAGCTTGTTCCTCTGTTGCTTCCTCACCTGTTTGTTCTTGGTGGGTCTGAAGCAGTCGGCACACGTTGTTGCTCTGTGAGGAAACAGGAAGTGGAGCATCGTTTAAACACACGTCTATCAAGTGTTAAAGATCAGAGGTCACCTGTGTACTCCTGGTGATGTGTTGGGAGAATACTGAATGTACTCTTTCAATATCAGAGTAGCATGATAACAAAGGTATCCCAACTGTAGCTGTGAACATGACAGGATGTGTGATGACCTAGAAGAGCATCAGGACTGTTTGAGGCATATGATAGCTATGTGATTAACATGATGATTCAGCCTCTATGGAGAGAGACATATGACAAGCATGATCATTTCTGACGTGGAGCTAATCTGAACTAAACATTGAATACTGCTTTATATTCCTCCATCTTGTGACTGTGTGAGAAGTTTGAGATTTTGAGAAAAAGTCAGAATTTAGAGAAAAAGTCAGAATTTAGAGATTTTAAGAAAAAGTCCACATTTTGAGATTTTGAGAAAAAGTCAGAATTTAGAGATTTTGAGAAAAAGTCAGAATTTTGAGAAAAAGTCAGAATTTTGAGAAATATTCAGAATTTTGACATTTTGAGAAAAAAGTCAACATTGTGAGAGAAAGTCAGTATTTTGTTCATGACAGGATGTATGATTACTTAGAAGAACCGGTATTCCTCCATCTTGTGACTGTGTAACTCCCTCTCTTGTATCAGAATCAGAATACCTTTATTAGTCCCCCAGAGGGGAAATTTGCAGCGTTACAGCAGGAAAGAGCCACAGACAGCTTAGTGTTGCATATCTGAAATGCGTTAAAGTACTAAGTTATATCAGTATATCAGCATGTGAAGGACACTGTTCAGGAACTAGTTGATGCTCTGTATGTGATGACTACTTCCATTCTGGAGAGGATCATAAATACATGGATCCTGAGATTGAAGCTCAAGCCGGAGACGAGTGAGAGTTTTCTAACATAATGAATAAAAGAGGATGTATAGTAGGGAGATCTTCAGAGGGAGGAGGACTCACAGGAAGTGGCAGTCAGCGTCCGTCTCCTTGTGGGTGAACCCCACAGAGATCTCGAACAAACTCTAAAGAAAAACAGAAAAAACACACTGTTGTTTTAAATATATACACTTGTATTATTTGAATGCGTTAGTGGGAGAAAACAGGAATTCAATCTATTGTATACATTGTATTTTTAATGCTAAAATGTTTAAAAATACATTTAAGTACATACTGTATCTATGATAACTATATATTTTTATGAATTTTGACTTGTTACCGTAATAAAAAAATATGTATAAAAAAATAAATAAAAATAAAAATAAATAAAATAAGTAAAATAAATAAAACAAATAAAATAAATAAATAAATAAACCCGACTGAGTGTTTCTGACGTACCCTGGCAACCACAGCGACGCCGCCTATCTCCTTGGCGACCAGACCCTGCAGGACCCACTTGAAGGCCTCCTTCACCTGCACCACGTCGTCCTTATCCACCGCCATGCTTTTCTCCCTGAGAGACAACAAGAGGTTAAACTACACCGTGACAATGGACTGATGGGAGATTTAAAATGGAGAAGATAAGATTCGCTCACCTCAACTCCTTCTTCACATGCAGCCAACAGGAGTGCTGCAGGAGTAAAGACAAAATAAATGTTATATTCCTTTTCATTAAGCTGATGCATTGGTCTTAGAATAGAAACACCCATCAAGAAACTGAACACCTTATTATGTCAACATATTGTAACATATTGTCCTCGAAAGTTTTGGAAGTGTTAACCTCCAGCTCTTGAGCTTTTTTCAGCTCCACTCAAATGAACCTCACCTCACAATTTATTACATGGCTTAGTTGAATACTCGATTCTGATTGGTCAATTCAGAACACGTGACACGTTGTTAATCCAGTAGTACAGACCGCTGTCAAGGACTTATTGACCCTTAAGGACGCTCACATCTGCAGAAAGAAGTCCGGTTGATTGAACTGTATACAGTTTGGCTGAAACTGGGACACAGAAAACAGCGGAGAAGTAACGGGGCAGAAACCCTCCTTTTTACGCAACGGTCCAGCCATAGACATCAAACGGCAAAACATATTCAGTTGCCAGTTACTTTGGCATTAGGGCAGGGATATCTAGATACCTTCCACATGATGAATTGTGCTACTATTAAAGCAAGCAACGATGTTTTCAAATCTGTAATCAAAAAGCTCCGCAAAAACACTATCGAAGGAGTTCCTACCGTTGCTACGTAGTTCAAACGGTAACAACGGACTATTTTTCTTAGCAGATGCATGTCATTTTAAATAAATAATAGCCTACTATTTTTTAAATCTATAAAAACATTTCAATTAATATTGGGAGTCATATCGTTACTTTGTTGAGAATGTGGCTTCGCGTCGGGATCCTGACCGGATGTTCTATTCCCCATAATGAACGCCTCGCTGCACATTATCCCTTACTTAACATGTTAGTGAT